TCACCTGCTAAAATTATTGGGGTTATCACTCAAGTGCGTAGAAATAGTGTCGAGTTTAAATTCGAAGGTTGTATCATGGGACCCCTTCTTAGACAATTTCATCTATATACTGGCAACACCAACCACCAACAATTTTTATAGTTGTGGCATAATCAATTACTTAAAATGAAACAATTTCGAAAACATTTAACTTATAAGCTTAGGAGAGCCTGGGACAGATTAAAAATAAATTAACTCCAACAGATAAATTGCTTATCGCGAGAAACCAATCAACTTCTTTGTAACTCCTTGGTTTTAACTCAATTAAATCACTGCTGTGCAGTCTTCGGCTCCTGTCTCTACTCAGTAGGAAAAAGATGTGTATAAAAATTTGAAAACCCATTTCTAAGGCTATTTTATGTGGTACCAGTTGGTCGCATGAAATTACTTACAAAATTTAGGATTTTAGGATTTTTTTATTATCCCATCATTAAAATGAGTTATCCTTCTTATCTATTGTACACAGTTTCATTTAAAGTAATTGTTCATGGTTCAAATTTATGATGCAGAGGTCTGCTTACGGCACCGCAGCACAGAACCTTTTTAAAGAAACTTTCTCTTATAATATTGCCAATTTAATTTACTACCTACTGCCCTGTAGCTTTTAAACCACCACCATTTTACAAAACAGTTATCGATTTTATAGTATTACCTGTTTCTCTATGGCAAATAACTTATGGGACCCACTGTATTATGAACCGTTTTGTAATTACAGGAAATATGAACGAAAGGGTGCGGGACAGATGTAAAATGTTCTAGCCTCAAAACGGCGTATGTAAAACGTTTGAACTGTCGTCTGCGATTGTTTTATTTCAGCAGTCGATGGGTAAACTAATTTTAGTTAAGCAGACTGAACCGAATATCGTGTAGGTGCGGAAATGGAATCACTTACGCCGGCTGAAGTGTGAAATGCGCGAACAATTTAACAGTTTCTCCGCCGGTTTGCCTGTTCCCTCTCGGCTCTATGAAGCTTATTTATATAATATAATTGGATTAGCAGCGTGGGTTCAGCATTGCGATGAAAAGGCAACTCGAACTGAACTCACCGGAGAACAATGGATAATCATCATCTTCGGTGTGTTCTGTTACGCGTTTGTGGAAAAGACCGTGCTGGAGGGAGTGCCGCCGAAGGCAATTATGGATCGAAGTTGAAGCAGTAAAATATCTACGACTTCTTAACTACAGTACAGACACACGGTGGGACAAACTGAAAACTCCCCTTTCAAAAAGAGGTACACGAAAGCTGTTTGGCAACAACACACAGTTTAAATGGAAATTGAAAATGTAGGTTCTTAAAAATTTGCCGGAACTTTCGTTGCTACAAAAAATTTGCGTTTCTATGAAAAAGTTTTCAAAACATCCTTATTTGTTGAACTGAGGTGGCTTTTACTTGATGAAAATCCATTTATCAAAATAAATAAGACCTAAAAGTTCAGATTTTCACGAAATTATGTATTTTGACATGACAATTTGACCGTGTCGTTATATGGTGTTGTCGAAACAATTGTCATGTCAAAATATATAATTTCGTGAAAATCTGAACATTTAGTTCCTATTTATTTTGATTCTTATTTGTATATAAATCGTTATTTGCGACGCTCTCCATATCTTCAATTACCTTTCTAAAAATATACACTTGATATTTTGTACGAGTCTTCTTCAAAAAATAAACGTTTTGAACTTTGAACAGACAAATGCTGAGAAAATAAATACGTATTAGCAGTTATCAAATAATGATTACGGTTAGGTTTTAATTTTATCCTTCAAATAAATGTCAAAAAAATATTTGTGCCTGTGTTTTTTTTAAGTTCATCTAATGTAAGTTCTTGCCAGTCCTGTGCGTTTCTATATATCAACGCGAACATTGGATATTGAAAGATTTTTTTGAACAGTTGCTCAAACACAATTCCTGGTAAATCCATATCCCTATTTGTACAAAGTTGGGAATGTGTAATGCCTTTAAGAGTTTTTTTATCAAATTACTTGGTGCTTCTACATCCTTCCCCTAATTTTATTAAACAAACCATCCTATACTAATTATTTAAAAAACAATTGAAACTAAGCTGAACTAAAAATCAACAACCAAAATCAGAATTTGATAACTAACAATAAACATTGTTTTCCTGTATGGTTTCCTTGCTTATTTAAGAAGGTAAAAAGTAGGATATATTAAAAAAATATATAGAGGGTGTCCTTTCTAAAAGACATATTTTCTGTTGCTACCTATTAAATTATTAGTTATACTGATAGTTCGTAAATTTTACTTTCACGCGTGCTTTGGGAATGCTTTCATAGAAAGATTTTTAAACACTCTATAACTTTGAAACCGTTCCATTTGTGACTTTTACCATTACCAGAAGAGTTTCCTGAATATAGGTATAAAATAATGGGAAATCTTAATTTAAAAACGGCCATAATAAGTTGTTTACCATGTTGCAGCATTTAGAGAGAAAAAAGTAAAAAAAAACACCTCACTCTAATACTCTAATACATGTCTGATAGACATTCAAATCTGTACAACAAATTAAAAAAAATATTTATTAAAAAATTACTTTGCTATTAACAAAAATTATAACTTTGAGATTGGAGCACAGTTGTGGATGGTTTTTGTTAATACGGTGGAATAAACAGATATATTTGAACCATCCACATCGTAAAACGAGTTTGGAAAATAATGGCCGCAGGTCAATGTCTAGAAAAGAAAACGAAGCAAAACACCAAGGGAGTCGAATAAACAATCGCTTAATTGGGTCGAAACGTGGCTTCGGCTCAATTAGTCTCGAAACTGAGAACAATTACGCGAGAACGCAGTCAAATTAACCGGAGGTTGAGTAATACGAGGTTCAAACAGAACTTCGCTCTTAAAAGAGCTCGCCATGTCTGTTTTTAAATGAAGTTTTTGAGTACGTGAGTTTTATTACGACAGATTAATTAAATTTCCGCGAGGAGTATTTTTAAAAGAAATGAAATTAAAACCCGGCATGTTACTGTACAAAGATTTGTTTTTTGGTAGAAGTCGATATTTTTAACGTCGAAGAAAAACCAAGCGCCACAAGATGCTCCTTGCACTGCTGTAAGTTTAAATGGCAGAAGTTGAAGTTTCTTTTTGAGGAATGTAAAATAAAAATTTAATAAATCATATTATAACATTTTCGAAAAATGTATAACCCTGTGCTTATTCAAATGTGCCGATAGAATTCATTTTTTCTTCCGTTTTCAAGTTTATACGGGTGATTTTTGGATGATTTTGAAGTATATTAGTGGATATTAGTGGATTAGATTAGATAACATTGTTTCCCCTATTCAATGATGAAAACTAATCGTGAACTGGCCTTCCCAACTTTTATAAAACAAACCATCATATCCCATTCATTTAAAAAACAACTGAAACTAAACTAAACTAAAACTCAAATGCCAAAATTAAAATTTGATAACTACGTATTCAATAAGGTAAAAAGAGTGTATTTCGAATAGGATTCGTGCAAAATAACAAGTAGGATATATTTTTGCAAAGTTCATTTTATATTATTTTCAATGATTCTAAAATATATGGTGTGTCTTTTGTGAAAAATAGATTTGTTCGTTGCCACCTATTAAACTATTAGTTATACCTATAGCAGTAAATTCTACGTTCATGAGTACTTTGGAAATGGGAGCAGATTCCTTTTTTGATTGTTACCATTACCAGAAGAGTTTCCTGAATATAGGTATAAAATAATAGGAAATCTAGTTTTAAAACGATCATAATATCTGTCATAGATCTTTAACAATTTATCTAACCAGGAGGTGCTGCTGAGAAACAGTGTTTGGAGAATAATGACGGCAGCTCAATGTCTGGAAAAGAAAACGAAGCAAAACACCAAGGCAGTCGAATAAACAATCTCTTAATTGGGTCGAAGCGTGGCTTCGGCTCAATTAATCTCGAAACTGAGAACAACTACGCGAGAACGCAGTCAAATTAACCGGAGGTTGAGTAATACAGAACTTCGCTCTTAAAAAAGCCCGCCATGTCTGTTTTTAAATGGGGTTTCTGAGTACGTGAGTTTTATTACGACAGATTAATTAAATTTCCGCGAGGAGTATTTTTAAAAGAAACAAAGATTTGTTTTTTGCTAGAAGTCGATATTTTCAACGTCGAAGAAAAACAAGATGCTCCTTGCACTGCTGTAAGTTTAAATGACCGAAGTTGAAGTTTCTTTTTGCGAAATATAAAATAAAGAGTTTATAACTTATGTAATAACATTTTCTAAGAATATATAATCCCGTGCTTATTCCAGTGTGCCGATCGAATTCATTTTTTTGTCCTGTTTTCAAATATATACGGGTTATGTTTTTAGAATTTTGAAATGTAATAGTGGATATTAAAACTATTGTTTCCACTATCGCAGTTTCCACAGAAACTAACTGTTGTTAAGGGTTGTCATGGAAACTTGCACCAATTTGATTGTGAAAACAATTGACTTCCTAACATATCCATCATACCGTATACGTCCTTTGTTTTATTGAAAAACTTTAAATAGAAATTTTATTTGTAAGTGCACCTCATATAGGCTATTGTCTTTCTTTACTAATTTTTCTATGTATATAAAAAAATTCTATAAAATTGCATTTTATTTCCTATTAGAATTATTGATTATTAAGTAAAATTATGTTATTTTTAAACTTCTAATAAGAATTTATTTATAAATAACTTAATCATCATAACACTAATTTTGGTGATTAAGTTCGGATGAAATTTTTTTTACCTGATGAAATTGTGAACTGTCGGATTTTATACATTATTGTCAACTTTTGCACAAAAAAACTAGATGTAAGGTAAGGTAGAATCAAGAAAATACGTTTTCATATAGAAGAAGACAGAAGACAACTGTGATGGTATTTTGCCGATTTCGTTTGTAAAACGCAGTTCAAAAGTTTGAAGAACCGGCCCGAAAATGCACAAATCTCTTGCTACCACTTACTTGTGTAGGCGAAAGGCAAACCGTCCGACCATCTAAAATCGCTTTCATGAGCTTTGTCGGAAGCTCCTATCCAATAGGCGTTATGTTCTTTGTACCCAGGACTGAAACAAACGACATCAAAACAATTTTAGTTATGATATATATAGTTCTTTACAAATAAACAGAGGTGAATGCGGCGGCATTTTGCACTATACCGATGTAAAAAATTATTCTAACGCCTTTTATAACCATTTTGTGAATTAGAAGAATAATTTTGATCATCTGTTAAAAAACAAACATTGCCGAAACTGTTGAAACTACCGTTGTATTGTAAAACAATTTGTTGACACCTGTTACGATGATTAAATCTGTAGATCGAAGTGCCTGGGCGTTGTTTTGGTAAAAACACCTAATATGGCGTGTGTCGGTGCAAAACACCAACAACAAGTTAATTTATCCGAAATTAGATTTAATTTCAATATTTAAAAAGTTTAAATACTTTAGAGTTTTTTTGTATAATTAAAAACAAAGCAGGCAAAGAAACTTGGGGGAGCAAAAAATTGAATCAAATTCTCTTCCTGCTAGAATTGAAGAACAATGTTTTCCTCCCGGTCTCCCATTTTCTATTTTCTGGGGCGGAAAGTGAAATGTTGGAAAGGAGAGCTAAAATTTAAGAACAGAAACTCTTTGCATTTGATTTTATTTCGCAAATCAGTGCGAGTTGGAGCGCATAGTACGTAAATAATTTTTTTCTACTCCATTCTGTAGATTACCTAATTATACACCGATCAAGCTTGCGGAAAACGTCACTTTATCACGTGAGTTTCGTGTTCCGAGCCACTTCGAACTTTTCCGGGATTTTATCTCACGGGTTTGGGAGCAATCGGATGTTTTCGGATTTTACCGCACGGATTGAATTTTGACGTTTGTCAGTTCTGACGGTCATGTCAGTGAATGTATTCGTGTTGTTTTGCAAAAAAACTAACGGTTGTAGAAAAAGTATAGTATGCAAAACTTTCGGAAAGTCACTCATATATTAAACACTTGCTCCGCTCGTGCCAAATATACTCGTGACTCAAATGCCGTTTACCACACTTGTTCTATAATACACTATTCAAGTTTTTGTTAACTTATAACATTTAGTAAAAAATATTACTACGTTAACGATAGCCTCTTCCTCTCTCTTGCGCTCCAAAAAGTATCAAAAACTTCTGCGCGTTGGTTTCGAGCCAAGCAATGTGGAATGCCGCGTAACCATTGCTCTTGATACAGATTGTAACCCTTGACTTTTGATATATAGATTGCTATGGTCACCGACTATAAATCGTTGAGGTTGCCCTTCAAATTCCCAATAAACGACGGCCATTGCGAAATAGCGAACCGTAATAAATAACGCAGTCTAACAAGGGGACCGTATATTTCGCGAGTAATTGGGATTTATTGCAAGGAAAAAAATTGTCATATTGCGTCCAGATTTTGGGCATAAGAAAAAATTGTTTGGTCTTGAACTGCAAATCAATCGCTGACTCTACCATCAACGTTTCATCGTCTATCTAAACGAAAGACATTAATCCAATACACCCGAGAAGCCCTTAATATTACTGGGCTGAGCGATATACCGGTCACATTCTAACAAACAACAAATTCGTTGTTTTTTGTAATTTTTTGTTACTTCCAGTTTTCCATTAATTTTTTCATTGACGGAAGTTTTCAACTCATAATGCCACTCGTCGGTTCGCAACTTCAATCGTTCTAAGTCTTAATCTAGATAAACTCGCTTGTAATCGACAAGTTCTTCCCTGTGGTCACGTTTATATATGAATTTGTATTAAAATGCATGAAATGTAAATGGAACACCGTCTTAAATCTGCATATTACAACGACTTTAGGACCCATTAACTTCAAAATAATATTCAAATCTCTAGAGCAGTGTCAGAAATGTAAATTAAGCCATAAATTTTTCATGTATTTTCCCGGGAGATTTTAAGATCAATGCCTCTTATTTTATATTTTGCTTCTTGTTTAGCACCAAATATATAACAAGCGACTGATTCTGCAATAAGGCCTTGCTAAAGTTGCCAGTAATATTATCTTGTAATGGAGCAAGATCACGTCAAGTGGACGCCCCATTTACCACTTGATCATAAAAATTTGATCTATATATATATATATATATATATATATATATATATATATATATATATATATATATATATATATATATATATATATATATATATATATACATATATATATATATATATATATATATATATATATATATATATATATATATATATATATATATATATATATATTATAAGTACTTATGATGGAAAATTGATCCCCCAAACGATTTTTTAAAATTTTGATTTTAACATTTTTTGTATAATGAAAATTTTAAGCACTTTTAATTAAAAAATGTATTAAAAATCAACGGTAAGAGATAAATTTATGAATTTTCAGCATCGATGGTCAAATGTCTATACTTTAAGAATTTATTAAGGACTTCAAATTATTTGTTTATTTTCGTATTGTTCACTAACTTTTAAGTTAACAAATGAAAATTTAACTGATTTCTTTGTAAAAAAAAACATTTTTTTTAGTCCACATGCTTTATCCATTTAAATTTAAGATTCCGAAAGAAATTTTCACTGCTCGTCATTAGTTTAAACAAAATGAGTTTATTTATTATCTCGAACTGCATTGAAGGTTTTATCAGGGATAATTTAAAATAATAATACAAAATAGTATTATAAAACAAATTTTATTATTATTTATGTTATTTTATTATAATTATTATTAATAATTTTTTTTAACCATATTATAAAGAATATAATCATAGCATACTGAATAGAACAAACAAGCTTAAATAATTAAATTGTAAATTTGTCGTTGGTTATTTTTATTTATTTTTTTTAAACTTTGTTAATAAATACTTATTCATCCTGAAAAATTTTCCAATGGTTTGTAATAATGAAATTGGCGAGTATTTTTTATTGTACTTCAGCGTTCAAATCGTGGTTGGTATTTTTTTTATGTAGTTCATGATCTTTAATAGTACAGAGAGCAAAATTATTTTTTTTAAAAGAACTTTGGGCCCACTGGAAAAAGGAAAGTGGGGTTGTTATGTGGTTGGAGACTTTGGAGACTAGCACGATGAGTTTGCCTTTTCACACTCCCTGCTAAGTCATCACACGCTCCTTTGCCATGAGATGTAGCGAAAAATGTCGAATCAGTATCAACACCAACATCATTTTTATGATTAACTAAATTGGCAAAATTATATTTATCTTTATATTGTGAAGCTGCTCCATCGGAAAAATACTTGATTTTTTAAATTTTATCGGCACCAAATTTAGTTTTCAAAAATTGTATCAATTTAGTATTAAATAAATGTACTGAACTTGGATCGTGACGTGAAGTTTTTCTGATATCACAACAAAATTTTCATGCTTCATTCCTCCCTTTACTTTATAATAAATGACATAAGGGTGAAGTGTAGCCTGATCAATGGACCAATGGTGTGAATGGATTGAATAGCATCTTGAACAAAAAAAGAATAATTTTTGGAAAAATGGAGACATACTATAAACTCTTCATCATTAGTAGATTCTTTTTGTTTAGAGAAATTAGACGTTTGAGACATATCACCACAAAATCATGCTTTAACAGCGCCGATCATTTATTTCCCAGCTCAGCCAAAAAATCTTCCTTTCAATAGGTAGCTTCAACGATTTCAGTCCTGCAAAATTTCAAAAGAATGTATAATGTATAATAAATTGTGTACAAAAATCAATCATTAGACAAATTGATGAAATCAAATTATTTGTACTTAACCCTTTTCCTTACCTGTCGGTACTTTTCCATTGACTGAACGATATTTCCTTTATCTCGTGCCTTTCAATTAATAATTTTAACTTATCAAAAACTTCTGGACACTTTTTACTTTTTACATGTCGAAAAAAAAACATGATGATGTAGGTTGCGCGCAAACAGAGCTTTAAATCAAGTCATTGGAACTTTCAGTAAAATCAACACCATTTTTTTTTTCATTTCATTTTTTAGTCCATGTAATTGTAATTTTACATTTTGGTGAATTTTGCATACACATACATTATGTGTTCCACTTTTTTCAGCAGAATTACATTTCCTCGGTCTTAAAGTTTGAAATTTATTCTGTCCAATTTTTTCATCAGGAAATTTTTCTTTAAATTTTTTATATATATCATGTATGTTAAACAGTAAGAGTTTCTTTTGTTTCTGTGTTTTTTTACCATTTTCCATAACCGTAACATAATCTTCATTCCAGGCATCACGCGGCTGACATCATCTGATAAATAAAAATTTTTCACGCGATCAAGTGTTGAATTGTCCAGACTTTTGCCTTTTTTAGAGTCTTTGAGGCTGTGGCGCAAATCCTGAATTTTTTCTAATATTTTTAGCAGCTTGTACCTTTTTCTTTGACACTTTGAACTCACATCGTATCATTTTGATGGACCAATCCAGCGGAAGAGTAGTCAAAACTTGGATTTTCTCGGATCTACTAGTTTTTTTATCAAAAGCAGACTTGAAATTATTCAAAAGAACGTCACTAGAGTTATGATTACTAATATCATTATCACTCAATTTTTACAGAACTTATAATAGCTTTCTGACACTCAGCAACACTTTTCAATTTTCAATTGATTGTCAATAGTATCACACTTGAAAGTCGAATCTTTCTTATCATCATCTGTAATTTTATCTACTTCTGGCTCAGTCGTATCAACAATAGGATCATTATTGACAGGTTTATTGCATGTATTTTCTTTCACAAGAATTGCACATATAATTTCCTATAAAGGCTCTGAATTGGCAAGCACGATGAACTGCAATTAAAATTAATTTTTTAATCACATAATTGTGATTTTTTTCAATTAACGGATTGCAACATTTATTCACTCGGCCCATTTTATGTAACAGAAAATATTATTATTACAATAAAAAAAAACAATTCAGCTTTTATTTTTAATAATTATTTCATGCTTTGCGTATAAACTTCTGTCACGAATAGACAGGAATGACTTCTAAAATGATTTTGTTATTTAAATTTAAATCGTAACGCAGCGGTTTTTCTTTT